CCTTCGAGCTCTAGTCGATTGTGGGGCGTCCAACAATTTTGTGCGACGCCAATCGCTAGAAGATGGTCACTTTAAATTCAGTGAATGTGACACATTTCCCACGAAGATGACGGTACGTCTTGCGACAGGCGCATCCGTAACCGTCATGAAGTGTATAGTGAAGATCCACTAGACGCTAGAAGATACCCAATATGACGATGACTTTATTGGATTGGATTTGGATGACAAATTTGATATCATACTTGGAATACCGTGGCTCAGAAGGTACGAACCACGGGTAAACTGGCAACATCGAACAGTAACGATGTCTGCCGCTTGTTCCTCAGATGGCCATCTGATGAACGTTTTGGAGCGTCCACAAGCGTGTGGATGTACTACGAGTGAGTGCAATGCCTCACTTGTGGTACGGTCGTTAGCACGACTGCACAAAACCTTAGTGTACCAAACGGTTACACTTCGTAGCAAAGTTCCGGCGGCTGTGAGGAAACACAGGCTGCGCCGAAGGTCCACCACTCGAATAAGTCGGGTGGACCGGGACAAAGATGTATCCTTAGCGGGAAACATCAAGAAGAGAAACAATCGATCGCTCAGATTAAGCGAAACGATAATCCTAGATCGACTGGATAGTCTTTCGTAGAGGATCTCGCTGTGGTTGCGCAACCACAGCTAGAGGAAGTTAAGGGAATAAGTCCCAAGATTACAAATACGGCGGAAATAAGTTCCCCGAAACCCGAGGGAATAAGTCCCCGAGAAGCCGAAGCAACAAGTCCTTCGGGGCCTGAGGGAATAAGTCCCCAGGAAATGACAGAGACATTGAATGTCATAGTCAATAACAGATCAAGCGTAGGCGCTTATACACTTGATCTGATTGCGCCTCCGAAGTTGACTTCGGAGATCACTCAGTTGCCAACGCTCGAACATAAAAGGTTCTTGCGTGATCTGCGTAGTGCCAAAGTCAAGCAGATCTGCGTACGCGTCGCTGACGACGAGTGTGTAGCCGACATAAGGTCAGCAACAGTGTTTACTGAGAACGAGAGAGTTCTCAGTAGTTCATCTATGGACGAGAGTGTCCTAGATGAAAAGACACGAATTGAGCGATATGACTCCCAATCATGGAAATCGCTCAAGACAAATCCTCTCTATGAAGATCTGGTTGAATTCAAGGATGTATTCCCTGAAACTTTCCCGTGCGAATTACCGAAGGATAAAGGTATTCGACACGAGGTCGAGCTTAAACCAGGCTCGAAGTACTGTGTCATGAAGCAGTGGCCACTGCCTCGTGAACAAGTACTTGCGATCGACAAGTTCTTTGCCGATCGTTTAGCTGCGGGCCATGTGAGGGAATCACATAGCTCTCCGACCTTCTGTGTGCGAAAAGCAACAGGAGGGTGGCGGATAGTGCATGCATTTAACAAGTTGAATGCTGCAACGGTACCGGCTCAGACGCCGATACCAAGGAAGGACGTAATCATTGATGGTACGTCAAAGAGTACCATCTTTTCGTCCCTGGATTTGATGGATGGCTTTTATAACATCCTTATGCGAGAACGGGATATACCCTATACCGCAGTTAGCACGCCTAGCGGCATGCTCTGGGAATGGCTAGTAATGCCACAATGGCTCAGTAATGCCCCTGCCACGTTCAACAGATGTGTATCACATCTGTTGAGACCATTGCGAGAATTCGCACCGAGTTATTTCGATGACGTATTTATCCATAGTCGGGCTATGGATGGAAAGTCGTATGTTGAGGTTCACAGGTACCACGTCCGACAGGTTCTTACAATCGTGCGAAAGCATCAATCGTATGCAAACCTCAAGAAGTGCATATTTGCAGCAAGCAAAATACCACTTCTTGGGTGCATCGTTGGTAAGAACGGTATACGTCCTGAACCCGAAAAGATCAAGGCGATCACCGACTGGCCTGTGCCGGTTGATGTCAAAGGTCTTCGAAAATTCCTTGGGCTAGCGGCGTATTTGCATAAGTATTCGCGCAATCAAGCCGAGATGACTGTACACCTCTCTCGTTCGTTGAAAAAGAACGAGAGGTGGGTATGGAACGCTGAATGTCAGCGCTCCTTTGATGGTATCAAGCAGAGCTTGATACAATCCCCAGTCCTAGCAATTGCCGATCAGGACAGGCCATTTCATGTGGTCTGTGATGCCAGCGATTTCGCAATCGGCTGTGCATTAATGCAGTACGATCTTGAAGGCGTTGAACGCGTCGTCTGCTATCAGTCGCGTCAGCTGCAACCAGCTGAGCGGAACTATCCAGTGCATGACAAGGAACGCCTTGCCATGAAGTATGCACTCGAGAAGCTCAGAGTCTATCTATTAGGAGATAGACCCTTCGTTGTTTACACTGACCATGCGTCATTACGCACGGCAGTGAACAGCCCGCACCTTTCACAACGAATGGCGCGGTGGTTGTCATTCTTTGCAGAATACAACTTTACGGTCGAGTACAAACCAGGACGACTTAATGTCGTCGCTGATGCACTCTCACGTCGTCCTGACTTTGAACCAGTCGTGAAACCCAACAGTGAGACAGTCCCTGTTGCGGTTATGACGTCCTCCGTCCCATCTACAACGTTGTATGATGATGTGAGGCGGGCATACGCCCAAGATGGTGAGATTGTGAAGTTGTTGACACATCTCTCCCAACCATCTCGAGAATCGTTGAAACGATTATCGTCTGCGTATCGATTCTGCATCAGATCGATACACTACTCGCAACGGTTTACTGTATTATACAGCCGTTTCTGGTGACACACCACGCGTTGTCATTCCAGATGATACTGATCTGCGTTTGCGGATCATGTTCGAGTATCACGATGCTCCTACAGGAGGACATCATGGCCGGGAGAAAACATATCTCACGGTGAGTCGAGACTGTTACTGGCCCCGCCAGTATCAGTTTGTGCGCAAGTGTGTTCGCGCATGCGAATTCTGTCAACGAGTGAAGTCAAGTCCTTCACTGCGTGCACCTTTACAGCCTCTACCGGTTCCGGCTGAGTGCTGGGAATCCATCTCAATGGATTTCGTCTTCGGGTTACCCAAAGACGCACGCAAGAATACGGGTATTCTCGTATTTGTTGACAGATTCAGCAAAATGGTACACCTTGTGGCTGTACCAGAGACAATCACGGCAAGTGGCTGTGCTTGTGTCTTCATTGACACCATCTTCCGACTTCATGGGTTGCCCCGTGAACTCGTATCAGACAGAGATCCACGATTCACTGCTTATTTCTGGCGTTCCGTGTTCAAATCACTCGGAACGCGCTTGAAGATGTCGACATCTGATCATCCAGAGTCAGATGGTCAGACGGAACGAGCCAATCGTGTCCTCGAAGAGATACTTCGAGGATACGTACACTCCTTTAAGAGTTGGAGTGAGTTCTTGCCAATGGTAGAGTTTGCCATTAACAACTCGGTGCATGCGTCCACGACACATACACCGTTTTACGTGACTGGCTTACGCCATCCGCGTGTACCCACCTTACTCGAGTGTAACTCTGTTTTAAGGGGGGAGACTCGCGCGAGCAAAAACCGATTTGGTTCACGCTCATCACGCTCGGACGAAGAAGTCATTGCGTTTGATGCCGATGTCGACAACATCGATATCGAAGAAGATGATGCCAGTGAGAGCGAGGAAGCCCTCACTGAAGAAAAGATTGATGTTGCTGCACTGCACTCACAGCGCACTGAAGCTAACGAGTCATCAGATGAGTTCATACTGGCTCGTGAAACGGTAGTCCGTTTTGTGCAAGACTCCGTCGCCGAAGCGGTGGATAAGCAAAAGCAAAACGCTGACAAGAATGGAAGGGCAAACACTATTTTATTTAATAAAGGTGACTTAGTACTACTGTCTACGGTTAATCTACCAAAGCATGTAGTGACTAACTTGGGTAGCAGTAAACTACTACCCAAGTACATCGGCCCATTTCGTGTATTACACCGCCTAGGCAATGCATACACGATCGAGTTACCACGTAAGATGCGAACGCATCCCACGTTTTACGTTGGTCGGCTTAAGCCGTACCATCAGTACGCTGCTTCTTCCGATGAAGAACGCCCTTGCGCTCCAGCATCTCGCAGAGAGCCTTGTGCTCCCGATGGTGGGCGTCGACAAGGTTCTGAAGAGCAGTTATCTCAGCCCGAGACCGATCAACAATCCCACGAGCTACCCTTAGCTCGTCACGAAGAGATGTCAGAGATCTCTCGTTCTCAAGCTGAGCTAAGGCAAACTCAGCTCGATGCTTCGAGACAGCGTCCGCCATTTGGAGACGCCTGTCCCGCTCATGTTCGAGATCGCCGCGTAACCCTTGCGTTACGCGATCAAGGAGGCTCTCGGGGACACACGCTCCCCCACGATAATTTGGAAAAGGTTTTCCCTCCTCCTCCACCTCCATTAGAGGACTCTCGCGGTGGCCAGCGCTATCTAGTTGAGCAGCTGTTGAACCACCGCGACGTGAACGGACGTCGGACGAGTTATCTCGTCCGGTGGCGCGGCTATCCCCCGTCCTGGGATTCTTGGGAGCCCCGCTCTCAACTGATGATCGACGTACTGGGTCTGGTTGAGCAGTACGACGCGGCACATCCTGTGCCGCAGAAGGAACGCCGGAGAAAGTCTTCCCAGCGCGGTCGTAAAGGGATTTCAGATTGTCTATCCCTTCGTACATCTCAGTAGAGATACTTACGCGCCACCACGGGCTGGTAAGGAGGTAAGCCTCCTTTGGTGCGCGCGCAGAGTTGTTCACACAACAAGGGCACGGGTCTCTCCAGGAGAGGCAGGGTAGCCCACTCTCCCTAGACAGACGATGCAGCTTGTAGCGTGCACCTGTCGGGGTTCTTTTCTCAAACTTATCACGAGCTTTGATAAGTTTGTCGTTCCAAGCGTCACGGCCTACATCCTCAAGGTTATGGATGTAGGCGTTCCACGCTTGAAGCAGTGAGGAACCATCACGCTTGTGATTCCCACTGTACCATCGATGCTTCCTTTAAGCATCGATGACGAATTCATGTTCAGTGTGATAGTCTTTCGCGCTGGGGTCAAGGTGATGGATCCTTGACGAATCGAACAATCGTGTATGACAGCGATCACTCGTCGTCGCCGACAAGTGATCCGTGACGAGTTTTGGAGGCATCCATGCCTTCTTCTCGGGAGCGAGTCGCAACACACTGCGGTCCCACTCTTCTTGCGACGTGCAAACAGAAGTACTGGCACCTCGTTGCGAAGTGGTGTCAATAGGAGAACCGACACCACTGTTAGCGCCCGAGTCTCGCGATCTCGAGCGCCTTCGCTTCAGCGATGGTTCATCTGATTCACCAGATGAACCAAAGATTCTACGACGCGTAGTATCATCCATGCCACGCTTGGCAGGCGGCTTGGATTCAATCGCCGTCGATACGGATCCGTCTTCCGTATCAGGAGAGTATGAGACACCGAGCTCATACTCTGTGAAGACATGAGTGTCTTCATGACCAGCGCCTGCATCACCAAGTGACACAGGCTGGGTCGCTTCAGCAACCGATGCGACATCAGTTGCTATGGTTTCTGCTTCGGCTTCTGCACAGAGACGTGCGGACGCGCTCTCGGCGGCCTTGCTCGCGCATCGCATGGGCTTGTTAACCATGCGATGAGATGTTGGAAAGTGGACTCGGACCAACAAGTGCAAACCCGATCCCAAGTGATTTGGGACGAGTACCCATTTAGTCAATCAGTCACTAAAGTGACTGATGGTTAAGGGGGGTGATGTAACGGGGTGAATCGTTACATAACAATTTATAAGAAATTGTTAATAGAATATTACTATAAGAGTTATATTCTCAGAATATTGTCATAAGGACAAATATTCTGCAGCACTTACGAGTAGTTCCTAATTGGTTGACATAGGCCATTATATTAACCAACGAAGACGCGCTACGACAGACGCACGCAATGAGTGATGAGCAGATAGTTGATTTACACATTTGTATTCACATTTGTATTCAGACATAGTTAGATGAAGATAAATAGTGATTTATTGCAGACATTAACTATTATAAATACAGTTCTACTTTTTACTTTAACCACGTGCTCGCTTCTCCTTACCGTATTCCTCTGCACGTACGAGTGTACGTGAAGTTACGCGGCACCGCCTTATTCTGTCATCAGAATAAGTAGCTTGTACTGTCATCAGTACAAGCTTCAGGGTGCCCCGTTACACCTGGTAGCACTTCGTAGTCCGTCCGAGGACCACGTTCACATCTAGCATGAATATGTTGGATGATGAATATGACCAAAGCTTTCACGCTACGCGTGACGGCTACTCCCATTTGAGCGATGTCGAATGGGATGCGGTTGAACGAATGGGTTCAACCATGGGCATCCATGCTGTTAGCGTCATGCTAGAGGGCTCTCAATAGAGATGCCCACATGCTACTATCACCAAGTTCATTCAGAATGAACTTGACGCTGAACGAGAGATAGTAGCCTTGCTTCACCAACAAGGTTCTCAACAAGCAGAGTTGTTGAGAGAACAGGGTGCTCAACAGTTTGAACTGTTGAGACAGCAGCAGGCTGCTGCTGGCGGGTCGATGCAATTCGCGTCGACCCGAGACTTTGAAGATTGACATCTCTAAGTATAGGGGGGTCGAAGAAGACTCCCTCTTGAGATGGTTTGTCGAATCAGATGACGCCATAAGGGCGCGTCGCATCGACGACGGGGATATGCAAGTTGCATTTGCCCAGTCAAACCTGGCAGGACGTGCCAAGACTTGGGCACTTGGGCTAAAGTTGCACGACCCATATGCGTTTGGGTCGTTGGAAGTCTTCAAGTCGCGGCTCAGACAAACGTTTGAACCGCCTAGAGATGAGTTCAGGGCTCGAACCGAACTCTTGAAGCTCAAGCAGGGTAAGCGTGATGTGCACGATTACGCTTAACATATACGACATCTCACGAGTTGTATAAGTTCCAATCTGGTGGATGAACACACGTTGGTTTCGGTGTTCATGCAGGGTCTTGCGGATGGCCTTGTCAAGACTCACCTGTTCCGGCTTGAACTAGATTCACTAGAACAAGCCATTTCCATTGCGGAGCAGGAAGACTTCAGTCTGAGACAGGCTCGCGCCAGCTCGACATCATATCGTCAACCGAGACGATATGACAGCGGAGGTCCAGAGCCGATGGAACTCTGCTATGTAGAGAGCGAGAAGGCTCGCTCTACAGACTACAAGAAGTTGCAGAAATACAACAGATGTCAGAAGACAGGACACTACGCTTACGAGTGTAGTGCCCCTCGTCCCGTGTATCGCAACACTGGGCGTAGTGATCGTTCACCCATGAGAAAGGGGCAGGAACGCGGGTCCGCTCTTGGTGCAAAGACGCAACTACGGGATGGACCGTCAAAAAACGGACAGGATCAGTAGGTGCGGAGCACCCTACTGGTCCAGCAACGTTAAGAGAATTTGTAGGCCTCTTGATGAAGGTTGCTCTCAACACACACGCGTTGTGCGTTGCTGCTCTAGGTAATGAGGTCTCACTCATTACCTTGAAACTCGAAGTGACGAACAAGTTGTCCCTTCGAGCTCTAGTCGATTGTGGGGCGTCCAACAATTTTGTGCGACGCCAATCGCTAGAAGATGGTCACTTTAAATTCAGTGAATGTGACACATTTCCCACGAAGATGACGGTACGTCTTGCGACAGGCGCATCCGTAACCGTCATGAAGTGTATAGTGAAGATCCACTAGACGCTAGAAGATACCCAATATGACGATGACTTTATCGGATTGGATTTGGATGACAAATTTGATGTCATCCTTGGAATACCGTGGCTCAGAAGGTACGAACCACGGGTAAACTGGCAACATCGAACAGTGACGATGCCTGCCGCTTGTTCATCAGATGGCCATCTGATGAACGTTTTGGAGCGTCCACAAGCGTGTGGATGTACTACGAGTGAGTGCAATACCCTCACTTGTGGTACGGTCGTTAGTACGACTGCACAAAACCTTAGTGTACCAAACGGTTACACTTCGTAGCAAAGTTCCGGCGGCTGTGAGGAAACACAGGCTGCGCCGAAGGTCCACCACTCGAATAAGTCGAGTGGACTGGGACAAAGATGTATCCCTACCGGGAAACATCAAGAAGAGAAACAATCGATCGCTCAGATTAAGCGAAACGATAATCCTAGATCGACTGGATAGTCTTTCGTAGAGGATCTCGCTGTGGTTGCGCAACCACAGCTAGAGGAAGTTAAGGGAATAAGTCCCGATATTACAAATACGGCGGAAATAAGTTCCCCGAAACCCGAGGGAATAAGTCCCCGAGAAGCCGAAGCAACAAGTCCTTCGGGGCCTGAGGGAATAAGTCCCCAGGAAATGACAGAGACATTGAATGTCATAGTCAATAACAGATCAAGCGTAGGCGCTTATACACTTGATCTGATTGCGCCTCCGAAGTTGACTTCGGAGACCACTCAAGTTGCCAACGCTCGAACATAAAAGGTTCTTGCGTGATCTGCGTAGTGCCAAAGTCAAGCAGATCTGCGTACGCGTCGCTGACGACGAGTGTGTAGCCGACATAAGGTCAGCAACAGTGTTTACTGAGAACGAGAGAGTTCTCAGTAGTTCATCTATGGACGAGAGTGTCCTAGATGAAAAGGCACGAATTGAGCGATATGACTCCCAATCGTGGGAATCGCTCAAGACAAATCCTCTCTATGAAGATCTGGTTGAATTCAAGGATGTATTCCCTGAAACTGTCCCGTGCGAATTACCGAAGGATAAATGTATTCGACACGAGGTCGAGCTTAAACCAGGATCGAAGTACTGTGTCATGAAGCAGTGGCAACTGTCTCGTGAACAAGTACTTGCGATCGACAAGTTCTTTGCCGATCGTTTAGCTGCGGGCCATGTGAGGGAATCAACTTCCCCACATAGCTCTCCGACCTTCTGTGTGCGAAAAGCAACAGGAGGGTGGCGGGTTGTGCATGCATTTAACAAGTTGAATGCTGCAACGGTACCGGCTCAGACGCCGATACCAAGGAAGGACGTAATCATTGATGGTATATCAAAGAGTACCATCTTTTCGTCCCTGGATTTGATGGATGGCTTCTATCAAATCCTTATGCGAGAACGGGATATACCCTATACCGCAGTTCGCACGCCTAGCGGCATGCTCTGGGGATGGCTAGCAATCCCACAAGGGCTTAGTAATGCCCCTGCCACGTTCAACAGATGTGTATCACATCTGTTGAGACCAGTGCGAGAATTCGCACCGAGTTATTTCGATGACGTATTCATCCATAGTCGGGCTATGGATGGAAAGTCGTATGTTGAGGTTCACAGGTACCACGTCCGACAGGTTCTTACAATCATGCGAAAGCATCAATTGTATGCAAACCTCAAGAAGTGCATATTTGCAGCAAGCAAAATACCACTTCTTGGGTGCATCGTTGGTAAGAACGGTGTACGTCCTGATCCCGGAAATATCAAGGCGATCACCGACTGGCCGGTGCCGGTTGACGTCAAAGGTCTTCAAAAATTCCTTGGGCTAGCGGCGTATTTGCATAAGTATTCACGCAATTACGCCGAGATGACTGTACACCTCTCTCGTTCGTTGAAAATGAACGAGAGGTGGTTATGGAACGCTGAATGTCAGCGCTCCTTTGATGGTATCAAGCAGAGCTTGATACAATCCCCAGTCCTAGCAATTGCCGATCAGGACAGGCCATTTCATGTGGTCTGTGATGCCAGCGATTTCGCAATCGGCTGTGCATTAATGCAGTACGATCTTGAAGGCGTTGAACGCGTCGTCTGCTATCAGTCGCGTCAGCTGCAACCAGCTGAGCGGAACTATCCAGTGCATGACAAGGAACGCCTTGCCATGAAGTATGCACTCGCGAAGTTTAGAGTCTATCTATTAGGAGATAGACCCTTCATTGTTTACACTGACCATGCGTCGTTACGCACGGCAGTGAACAGCCCGCACCTTTCACAACGAATGGCGCGGTGGTTGTCATTCTTTGCGGAATACAACTTTACGGTCGAGTACAAACCAGGACGACTTAATGTCGTCGCTGATGCACTCTCACGTCGTCCTGACTTTGAACCAGTCGTGAAACCCAACAGTGAGACAGTCCCTGTTGCGGTTATGACGTCCTCCGTCCCATCTACAACGTTGTATGATGATGTGAGGCGGGCATACGCCCAAGATGGTGAGATAGTAAAGTTGTTGACACATCTCTCCCAACCATCTCGAGAATCGTTGAAACGATTGTCGTCTGCGTATCGATCTGCATCAGATCGATACAGTACTCGCAACGGTTTACTGTATTATACAGCCGTTTCTGGTGACACACCACGTGTTGTCATTCCAGATGATACTGATCTGCGTTTGCGGATCATGTTCGAGTATCACGATGCTCCTACAGGAGGACATCGTGGCCGGGAGAAAACATATCTCACGGTGAGTCGAGACTGTTACTGGCCCCGCCAGTATCAGTTTGTGCGGAAGTATGTTCGCGCATGCGAATTCTGTCAACGAGTGAAGTCAAGTCCTTCACTGCGTGCACCTTTACAGCCTCTACCGGTTCCGGCTGAGTGCTGGGAATCCATCTCAATGGATTTTGTGTTCGGGTTACCCAAAGACGCACGCGGGAATACGGGTATTCTCGTATTTGTTGACAGATTCAGCAAAATGGTACACCTTGTGGCTGTACCAGAGACAATCACGGCAAGTGGCTGTGCTTGTGTCTTCATTGACACCATCTTCCGACTTCATGGGTTGCCCTGTGAACTCGTATCAGACAGAGATCCACGATTCACTGCTTATTTCTGGCGTTCCGTGTTCAAATCACTCGGAACGCGCTTGAAGATGTCGACATCTGATCATCCAGAGTCAGATGGTCAGACGGAACGAGCCAATCGTGTCCTTGAAGAGATAATTCGAGGATACGTACACTCCTTTAAGAGTTGGAGTGAGTCCTTGCCCATGGTAGAGTTTGCCATCAACAACTCGGTGCATGCGTCCACGACACATACACCGTTTTACGTGACTGGCTTACGCCATCCGCGTGTACCCACCTTACTCGAGTGTAACTCTGTTTTAAGGGGGGGGAGAGACTCGCGCGAGCAAAAACCGATTTGGTTCACGCTCATCACGCTCGGACGATGAGGTCATTGCGTTTGATGCCGATATCGACAACATCGATATCGAAGAAGATGATGCCAGTGAGAGCGAGGAAGCCCTCACTGAAGAAAAGATTGATGTTGCTGCAGTGCGCTCACAGCGCACTGAAGCTAACGAGTCATCAGATGAGTTCATACTGGCTCGTGGAACGGTAGTCCGTTTTGTGCAAGACTCCATCGCCGAAGCGGTGGATAAGCAAAAGCAAAACGCTGACAAGAATGGAAGGGCAAACACTCTTTTATTTAATAAAGGTGACTTAGTACTACTGTCTACGGTTAACCTACCAAAGCATGTAGTGACTAACTTGGGTAGCAGTAAACTTCTACCCAAGTACATCGGCCCATTTCGTGTATTGCACCGCCTAGGCAATGCATACACGATCGAGTTACCACGTAAGATGCGAACGCATCCCACGTTTTACGTTGGTCGGCTTAAGCTGTACCATCAGTACGCTGTTTCTTCCGATGAAGAACGCCCTTGCGCTTAAGCATCTCGCAGAGAGCCTTGTGCTCCCGATGGTGGGCATCAACAAGGTTCTGAAGAGCAGCTACCTCATCCCGAGATCGATCAACAATCCCACGAGCTACCCTTAGCTCGTCACGAAGAGACGTTAGAGATCTCTCGTTCTCAAGCTGAGCAAAGGCAAACTCAGCTCGATGCTTCGAGGCAGTGTCCGCCATTTGGAGACGCCTGTCCCGCTCATGTTTGAGATCGCCGCGTAACCCTTGCGTTACGCGATCAAAGAAGCTCTCGTGAACACACCGATCCACATGATCGTGTGGAGAGCGTCTTTCCTCCTCCTCCACCTCCATTAGAGGACTCTCGCGGTGGCCAGCTCTATCTAGTTGAGCAGCTGTTGAACCACCGCGACGTGAACGGACGTCGGACGAGTTATCTCGTCCGGTGGCGCGGCTATCCCCCGTCCTGGGATTCTTGGGAGCCCCGCTCTCAACTGATAATCGACGTACTGGGTCTGGTTGAGCAGTACGACGCGGCACATCCTGTGCCGCAGAAGGACCGCCGGAGAAAGTCTTCCCGGCACGGTCGTAAAGGGATTTCAGGTTGTCAATCCCTTCGTACATCTCAGTAGAGACACGTACGCGCCACCACGGGCTGGTAAGGAGGTAAGCCTCCTTAGGTGCTCGTGCAGAGTTGTTCACACAACATGGGCACGAGTCTCTCCAGGAGAGGCAGGGTAGCCCACTCTCCCTTGACAGACGATGCAGCTTATAGCGTGCACCTGTCGGGGTTCGCTTTTCAAACTTATCACGAGCTTTGATAAGTTTGTCGTTCCAAGCGTCACGACCTACATCCTCAAGGTTATGGATGTAGGCGTTCCACGCTTGAAGCAGTGAGGAACCATCACGCATGTGATTCCCACTGTACCATCGATGCTTTCTTTAAGCATCGATGACGAATTCATTTTCAGCGCGATAGTTTTTCGCGCTGGGGTCAAGGTGATGGATCCTTGACGAATCGAACAATCGTGTTCGATAACGATCACTCGTCGTCGCCGACAAGTGATCCGTGACGAGTTTTGGAGGCATCCATGCCTTCTTCTCGGGAGCGAGTCGCAACACACTGCGGTCCCACTCTTCTTGCGACGTGCAAACAGAAGTACTGGCACCTCGTTGCGAAGTGGTGTCAATAGGAGAACCGACACCACTGTTAGCGCCCGAGTCTTGCGATCTCGAGCGCCTTCGCTTTGGCGATGGTTCATCTGATTCATCAGATGAACCAAAGATGCTACGACGCAAAGCATTGTCCATGCCACGCTTGGCAGGCGGCTTGGATTCAATCGACTTCGATACGGATCCGTCTTCCGTATCAGGAGAGTATGAGACACCGAGCTCATACTCTGTGAAGACAGGAGTGTCTTCATGACGAGCGCCTGCATCACCAAGTGACACAGGCTGAGTCGCTTCAGCAACCGATGAGACATCAGTTGCTGTGGTTTCTGCTTCGGCGTCCGCACAGAGACGTGCGGACGCGCTCTCGGCGGCCTTGCTCGCGCATCGCATGGGCTTGTTTACCATGCGATGAGATGTTGGAAAGTGGACTCGGACCAACAAGTGCAAACCCTGTCCCAAGTGATTTGGGACGAGTATCCATTAAGTCAATCAGTCACTAAAGTGACTGATGGTTAATAGGGGGTGATGTAACGGGGTGAATCGTTACATAACAATTTATAAGAAATTGTTAATAGAATATTACTATAAGAGTTATATTCTCAGAATATTGTCATAAGGACAAATATTCTGTTACACTTACAAGTAGTTCCTAATTGGTTGATATGGGCCATTATATCAACCAACGAAGACGCGCCACGACAGACGCACGCAATGAGTGGTGAGCAGATAGTTGATTTACACATTTGTATTTAGACATAGTTAGATGAAGATAAATAGTGATTTATTGCAGACATTAACTATTATAAATACAGTTCTACTTTTTACTCTAACCAAGTACTCGCTTCTTCTTACCGTCTTCCTCTGCACGTACGAGTGTACGTGAAGTTACGAGGCATCGCCTTATTCTGTCATCAGAATAAGTAGCTTGTACTGTCATCAGTACAAGCTTCAGGGTGCCCCGTTACACCTGGTAGCACTTCGTAGTCCGTCCAAGAACCACGTTCACATCTAGCATGAATATGTTGGATGATGAAGATGACCAAAGCTTTCACGCTACGCGTGACGTCTACTCCCATTTGAGCGATGTCGAATGGGATGCGGTTGAACGAATGGGTTCAACCATGGGCATCCATGCTGTTAGCGTCATGCTAGACGCTCTCAATAGAGATGCCCAACATGCTACTATCGCCAAGTTCATTCAAAATGAACTTGACGCAGAACGCGAGAAAGTAGCCTTGCTTCACCAACAAGGTTCTCAACAAGCAGAGTTGTTGAGAGAACAGGGTGCTCAACAGTTTGAACTGTTGAGACAGCAGCAGGCTGCTGCTGGTGGGTCGATGCAATTCGCGTCGACCCGAGACTTTGAAATTGACATCTCCAAGTATAGGGGAGTCGAAGAAGACTCCCTCTTGAGATGGTTCGTCGAATTTGATGACGCCATAAGGGCGCGTCGCATCGACGACGGGGATATGCAAGTTGCATTTGCCCAGTCAAATCTGGCAGGACGTGCCAAGACTTGGGCACTTGGGCTAAAGTTGCACGACCCATATGCGTTTGGGTCGTTGGAAGTCTTCAAGTCGCGGCTCAGACAAACGTTTGAACCGCCTAGAGATGAGTTCAGGGCTCGAACCGAACTCTTGAAGCTCAAGCAAGGTAAGCGTGATGTGCACGATTACGCTTAACATATACGACATCTCACGAGTTGTATAAGTTCCAACCCGGTGGATGAACACACGTTGGTTTCGGTGTTCATGCAGGGTCTTGCGGATGGCCTTGTCAAGACTCACCTGTTCCGGCTTGAACTAGATTCACTAGAACAAGCCATTTCCATTGCGGAGCAGGAAGACTTCAGTCTGAGACAGGCTCGCGCCAGCTCGACATCATATCGTCAACCGAGACGATATGACAACGGAGGTCCAGAGCCGATGGAACTCTGCTATGTAGAGAGCGAGAAGGCTCGCTCTACAGGCTACAAGAAGTTGCAGAGATGCAACAGATGTCAGAAGACAGGACACTACGCTTACGAGTGTAGTGCCCCTCGTCCAGTGTCTCGCGACACTGGGCGTAGTGACCGTCCACCCATGAGAAAGGGGCAGGAACGAGGGTCCGCACTTGGTGCAAAGACGCAACAACGGGATGAACCGTCAAAAAACGGACAGGATCAGTAGGTGCGGAGCACCCTACTGGTCCAGCAACGTCAAGAGAATTTGTAGGCCTCTTGATGAAGGTTGCTCCCAACACACAGACGTTGTGCGTTGCTGCTCTAGGTAATGAGGTCTCACTCATTACCTTGAAACTCGAAGTGACGAACAAGTTGTCCCTTCGAGCTCTAGTCGATTGTGGGGCGTCCAACAATTTTGTGCGACGCCAATCGCTAGAAGATGGTCACTTTAAATTCAGTGAATGTGACACACCTCCTACGAGGATGACGGTACGTCTTGCGACAGGCGCATCCGTAACCGTCATGAAGCGTATAGTGAAGATCCACTATACGCTAGAAGATACCCAATATGACGATGACTTTATCGTATTGGATTTGGATGACAAATTTGATGTCATCCTTGGAATACCGTGGCTCAGAAGGTACGAACCACGGGTAAACTGGCAACATCGAACAGTAACGATGCCTGCCGCTTGTTCATCAGATGGCCATCTGATGAACGTTTTGGAGCGTCCACAAGCGTGTGGATGTACTACGAGTGAGTGCAATACCCTCACTTGTGGTACGGTCGTTAGTACGACTGCACAAAACCTTAGTGTACCAAACGGTTACACTTCGTAGCAAAGTTCCGGCGGCTGTGAGGAAACACAGGCTGCGCCGAAGGTCCACCACTCGAATAAGTCGGGTGGACCGGGACAAAGATGTATCCTTAGCGGGAAACATCAAGAAGAGAAACAATCGATCGCTCAGGTTAAGCGAAACGATAATCCTAGATCGACTGGAGAGTCTTTCGTAGAGGATCTCGCTGTGGTTGCGCAACCACAGCTAGAGGAAGTTAAGGGAATAAGTCCCGATATTACAAATACGGCGGAAATAAGTTCCCCGAAACCCGAGGGAATAAGTCCCCGGGAAGACGAAGCAACAAGTCCTTCGAAGCCTGAGGGAATAAGTCCCCAGGAAATGACAGAGACATTGAATGTCATAGTCAATAACAGATCAAGCGTAGGCGCTTATACACTTGATCTGATTGCGCCTCCGAAGTTGACTTCGGAGACCACTCAGTTGCCAACGCTCGAACATAAAAGGTTCTTGCGTGATCTGCGTAGTGCCAAAGTCAAGCAGATCTGCGTACGCGTCGCTGACGACGAGTGTGTAGCCGACATAAGGTCAGCAACAGTGTTTACTGAGAACGAGAGAGTTCTCAGTAGTTCATCTATGGACGAGAGTGTCCTAGATGAAAAGGCACGAATTGAGCGATATGACTCCCAATCGTGGGAATCGCTCAAGACAAATCCTCTCTATGAAGATCTGGTTGAATTCAAGGATGTATTCCCTGAAACTGTCCCGTGCGAATTACCGAAGGATAAATGTATTCGACACGAGGTCGAGCTTAAACCAGGATCGAAGTACTGTGTCATGAAGCAGTGGCAACTGTCTCGTGAACAAGTACTTGCGATCGACAAGTTCTTTGCCGATCGTTTAGCTGCGGGCCATGTGAGGGAATCAACTTCCCCACATAGCTCTCCGACCTTCTGTGTGCGAAAAGCAACAGGAGGGTGGCGGGTTGTGCATGCATTTAACAAGTTGAATGCTGCAACGGTACCGGCTCAGACGCCGATACCGAGGAAGGACGTAATCATTGATGGTATGTCAAAGAGTACCATCTTTTCGTCCATGGATTTGATGGATGGTTTCTATCAAATCCTTATGCGAGAACGGGATATACCCTATACCGCAGTTAGCACGCCTAGAGGCATGCTCTGGGAATGGCTAGTAATGCCACAATGGCTTAGTAATGCCCCTGCCACGTTCAACAGATGTGATACACATCTGTTGAGACCATTGCGAGAATTCGCACCGAGTTATTTCGATGACGTATTTATCCATAGTCGGGCTATGGATGGAAAGTCGTATGTTGAGGTTCACAGGTACCACGTCCGACAGGTTCTTACAATCGTGCGAAAGCATCAATCGTATGCAAACCTCAAGAAGTGCATATTTGCAGCAAGCAAAATACCACTTCTTGGGTGCATCGTTGGTAAGAACGGTGTACGTCCTGATCCCGGAAATATCAAGGCGATCACCGACTGGCCGGTGCCGGTTGACGTCAAAGGTCTTCAAAAATTCCTTGGGCTAGCGGCGTATTTTCATAAGTATTCACGCAATTACGCCGAGATGACTGTACACCTCTCTCGTTCGTTGAAAATGAACGAGAGGTGGTTATGGAACGCTGAATGTCAGCGCTCCTTTGATGGTATCAAGCAGAGCTTGATACAATCCCCAGTCCTAGCAATTGCCGATCAGGACAGGCCATTTCATGTGGTCTGTGATGCCAGCGATTTCGCAATCGGCTGTGCATTAATGCAGTACGATCTTGAAGGCGTTGAACGCGTCGTCTGCTATCAGTCGCGTCAGCTGCAACCAGCTGAGCGGAACTATCCAGTGCATGACAATGAACGCCTTGCCATGAAGTATGTACTCGCGAAGTTTAGAGTCTATCTATTAGGAGATAGACCCTTCATTGTTTACACTGACCATGCGTCATTACGCACGGCAGTGAACAGCCCGCACCTTTCACAACGAATGGCGCGGTGGTTGTCATTCTTTGCGGAATACAACTTTACGGTCGAGTACAAACCAGGACGACTTAATGTCGTCGCTGATGCACTCTCACGTCGTCCCGACTTTGAACCAGTCGTGAAACCCAACAGTGAGACAGTCACTGTTGCGGTTATGACGTCCTCAGTACCATCTTCAACGTTGCATGATGATGTGAGGCGGGCGTATGCCCAAGATGGTGAGATTGTGAAGTTGATGACACATCTCTCACATCCATCTCGAGAATCGTTGAAACGATTATCGTCTGCGTATCAATTTCTGCATCAGATCGATACACTACTCGCAACGGTTTGCTGTATTATACAGCCGTTTCTGGTGACACACCACGTGTTGTCATCCCAGATGATACTGATCTGCGTTTGCGGATCATGTTCGAGTATCACGATGCTCCTATAGGAGGACATCGTGGCCGAGAGAAAACATATATCACGGTGAGTCGAGACTGTTACTGGCCCCACCAGTATCAGTTTGTGCGAAAGTATGTTCGCGCATGCGAAGTCTGCCAACGAGTGAAGTCAAGTCCTTCACTGCGTGCACCTTTACAGCCTCTACCGGTTCCGGCTGAGTGCTGGGAATCCATCTCAATGGATTTTGTGTTCGGGTTACCCAAAGACGCACGCGGGAATACGGGTATTCTCGTATTTGTTGACAGATTCAGCAAAATGGTACACCTTGTGGCTGTACCAGAGACAATCACGGCAAGTGGCTGTGCTTGTGTCTTTATCGACACCATCTTCCGACTTCATGGGTTGCCCCGTGAACTCATATCAGACCGAGATCCACGATTCACTGCTAATTTCTGGCGTTCCGTGATCAAATCACTCGGAACGCGCTTGAAGATGTCGACATCTGATCATCCAGAGTCAGATGGTCAGACGGAACGTGCCAATCGTGTCCTTGAAGAGATACTTCGAGGATACGTACACTCCTTTAAGAGTTGGAGTGAGTTCTTGCCAATGGTAGAGTTTGCCATTAACAACTCGGTGCATGCGTCCACGACACATACACCGTTTTACGTGAATGGCTTGCGCCATCCGCGTGTACCCACCTTACTAGAGTGTAACTCTGTTTTAAGGGGGGGAGGGACTCGCGCGAGCAAAAACCGAATTGGTTCACGCTCATCACGCTCTGACGAAGAAATCATTGCGTTTGATGCCGATATCGATAACATCGATATCGAAGAAAACGATGCCAGTGAGAGTGCTGAAGCCCTCACGGAAGAAGATGATCCCAGTGAGAGTGCGGTAGCCCTCACTGAAGAAAAGATTGATGTTGCTGCAGTGCGCTCACAGCACACTGAAGCTAACGAGTCATCAGATGAGTTCATACTGGCTCGTGAAACGGTAGTCCGTTTTGTGCAAGACTCCATTGCCGAAGCGGTGGATAAGCAAAAGCAAACCGTAGACAAGAATGGAAGGGCAAACACTCTTTTATTTAATAAAGGTGACTTAGTACTACTGTCTACGGTTAACCTACCAAAGCATGTAGTGACTAACTTGGGTAGCAGTAAACTACTACCCAAGTACATCGGCCCATTTCGTGTATTGCACCGCCTAGGCAATGCATACACGATCGAGTTACCACGTAAGATGCGAACGCATCCCACGTTTTACGTTGGTCGGCTTAAGCCGTACCATCAGTACGCTGCTTCTTCCGATGAAGAACGCCCTTGCGCTCAAGCATCTCGCAGAGAGCCTTGTGCTCCCGATGGTGGGCATCGACAAGGTTCTGAAGAGCAGTTATCTCAGCCCGAGACCGATCAACAATCCCACGAGCTACCCTTAGCTCGTCACGAAGAGATGTCAGAGATCTCTCGTTCTCAAGCTGAGCTAAGGCAAACTCAGCTCGATGTTACGAGGCAGTGGCCGCCATTTGGAGACGCCTATTCCGCTCATGCTCGAGATCGTCGCGTAACCCTTGCGTTACGCGATCAAAGAAGCTCTCGGGAACACACCGATCCACATGATCGTGTGGAGAGCGTCTTTCCTCCTCCTCCACCTCCATTAGAGGACTCTCGCGGTGGCCAGCGCTATCTAGTTGAGCGGCTGTTGAACCACCGCGACGTGAACGGACTTCGGACGAGTTATCTCATCCGGTGGCGCGGCTATCCCCCGTCCTGGGATTCTTGGGAGCCCCGCTCCCAACTGATGATCGACGTACTGGGTCTGGTTGAGCAGTACGACGCGGCACATCCTGTGCCGCAGAAGGACCGCCGGAGAAAGTCTTCCCGGCACGGTCGTAAAGGGATTTCAGATTGTCAATCCCTTCGTACATCTCAGTAGAGACACGTACGCGCCACCACGGGCTGGTAAGGAGGTAAGCCTCCTTAGGTGCTCGTGCAGAGTTGATTACACAACATGGGCACGAGTCTCTCCAGGAGAGGCAGGGTAGCCCACTCTCCCTTGACAGACGATGCAGCTTGTAGCGTGCACCTGTCGGGGTTCGCTTTTCAAACTTATCACGAGCTTTGATAAGTTTGTCGTTCCAAGCGTCACGACCTACATCCTCAGGGTTATGGATGTAGGCGTTCCACGCTTGAAGCAGTGAGGAACCATCACGCATGTGATTCCCACTGTACCATCGATGCTTTCTTTAAGCATCGATGACGAATTCATTTTCAGCGCGATAGTTTTTTGCGCTGGGGTCAAGGTGATGGATCCTTGACGAATCGAACAATCGTGTATGACAGCGATCACTCGTCGTCGCCGACAAGTGATCCGTGACGAGTTTTGGAGGCATCCATGCCTTCTTCTCGGGAGCGAGTCGCAACACACTGCGGTCCCGCTCTTCTTGCGACGTGCCGACAGAAGTACTGGCACCTCGTTGCGAAGTGGTGTCAATAGGAGAACCGACACCACTGTTAGCGCCCGAGTCTCGCGATCTCGAGCGCCTTCGCTTCAGCGATGGTTCATCTGATTCACCAGATGAACCAAAGATTCTACGACGCGTAGTATCATCCATGCCACGCTTGGCAGGCGGCTTGGATTCAATCGCCGTCGATACGGATCCGTCTTCCGTATCAGGAGAGTATGAGACACCGAGCTCATACTCTGTGAAGACATGAGTGTCTTCATGACCAGCGCCTGCATCACCAAGTGACACAGGCTGAGTCGCTTCAGCAACCGATGAGACATCAGTTGCTGTGGTTTCTGCTTCGGCGTCCGCACAGAGACGTGCAGACGCGCTCTCGGCGGCCTTGCTCGCGCATCGCATGGGCTTGTTTACCATGCGATGAGATGTTGGAAAGTGGACTCGGACCAACAAGTGCAAACCCTGTCCCAAGTGATTTGGGACGAGTACCCATTTAGTCAATCAGTCACTAAAGTGACTGATGGTTAATAGGGGGTGATGTAACGGGGTGAATCGTTACATAACAATTTATAAAATTGTTAATAGAATATTACTATAAGAGTTATATTCTCAGAATATTGTCATAAGGACAAATATTCTGTTACACTTACGAGTAGTTCCTAATTGGTTGACATAGGCCATTATATTAACCAACGAAGACGCGCTACGACAGACGCACGCAATGAGTGATGAGCAGATAGTTGATTTACACATTTGTATTCACATTTGTATTCAGACATAGTTAGATGAAGATAAATAGTGATTTATTGCAGACATTAACTATGATAAATACAGTTCTACTTTTTACTTTAACCAAGTACTCGCTTCTTCTTACCGTCTTCCTCTGCACGTACGAGTGTACGTGAAGTTACGAGGCACCGCCTTATTCTGTCATCAGAATAAGTAGCTTGTACTGTCACCAGTACAAGCTTCAGGGTGCCCCGTTACACAATGGCTAGAAATGCAAACCTAAACTGCCTCGACTTTGAAGAGTGACAGGGAATGTAAAATGTAGAACCGAAAACACGTTGAGATCGATGCGAAAGGATGCAGCAAGGGTTAATGAAATATAGGACGAACGCATGTGTGGCATCGCCATCAGTACGCAACACTGGCCGACATTTAAGCTCTGACAACATGTAGTGACTGTCATTGTTGATGTAGCTTGATTGCAACCTATCTGTGTACTACCATTACCATCACCTCGTGCTTCTTGCCCCGCTTAATACAAGCGTTAGGAAATATGCAGATAATTTGATAAGGTTTAATCAAAAGGGTGATCTTATAAAAGAGATCTTAGCAAGTATAATTTAACATTACAATTCTTTGTTAGACGTCAAACGCTATATGATTCGATGGAATGAGAAGAATGTGTCAGTATAGTAGTCATTATGGTGGGTCAAGAAAAGGTGAGAAAAAATGATGAAAAGTGATTCAACTAAAATTACGATTAATCTTCCTACTGGACAGGCTCGCCCTTCACAATCAGTAGCCATGTATGGGTATACTGCTCGTATGTCGTAGTCATCACTAATTGTTTGTAATGGTCCTTATGGAGGCCATTTAATTGATTACATCGAGTTCCTTATGTAACCAAAAACTACGTCCTGACCAATCGTGCTTTCTTCCAAGACAATTAAAAAACTCCCACACAGTCTCATACTCGTATACACTCACCATGGTTTTAGCTACGTAGAAAGTGTCAATTGGATTTGGTCTGGACGTCCAGTCTACGTACTCAATCCATAACATGAGCTTCGAAAAAATGGGCTTATCTTTTTCACTGACTTCGCCAGCAATGATACCACTTACACTTTTATCCGGGATCGGGCCGAAGGTCTCCGTAGGGATCACGTTCGATTTTTGCCACACTTCAAACGCCAACTGTCAATTTTTTCAGGCCTTGGGCGCATAGGTCCATGATCAATGTGTCAGCACGAGTTTCATGGCGGGGTCACGCCAAAGCCATAGAAGAGCCCTGAACAGCTCGTGATCGTGTCTTTTGCCACGTAGTAAATTAAACATCTCTTGGTCAGTGAAGACGTAACCCTGGCCTCGGTACTCGTCAACTTGAAGAAGCCAGTCCTTCAGCCTCGATTTGTCGGTCAACCAATAGGTTCCATCTTCATTGCCGATATTCTCGAAAGAGGCTGCTGGGTGATTAAACGGCCAAACACCAGCAATCATCGGGCTCAGTTCCTCGGAAAGTTCAAATATCAATACTCTCTCCTCTCGAATCAGGTCGTCGTTGCGACTGCCGTCCACTGGAGATGCACCAGGCTCTAACTGACTCTGCTCGACAGACGTGTTCGTCACCACAGGATCAGCAACAGTGGGCGGGTCGAGAGCGTCGCCATTGCTGCTTCGATTGTTGCTAGATATGGTTGACTCAGCGATCGCCCAAGTGATGGCGAAGGCCGATGACAAACACAAGAGAAGACGCATGATGTGGTCCACGGGCTTGCTGGCAGTTTGGAAAATGAGAGAAACAAGCGATGAGACCTATGAGGTTGCGACGTGGAGGGACTTTGTGGTCGCACCGTGGGGACCACCAGTTATCGGCGGGCTTCCAAATTTGTAACCGCGAGCTCGCATCTGGTCTGACGAGCTTCCGAATTTGTAACCGCGAGATCGCATCTGGTCCGACGAGATCTCAGATTCGGTACGACTAGCTACACATCGAGTCTCCTATCTGGTCCCACCGGCTCCGAATCCGAATCTCTATTTTCTGAGGCGAAGAGTGACTATCGCCGTCCTACATATACACACCGGACACAGAGCTTTAAGATTTCAGCAAATTTCCATCATCTTTTGCCTGTAAACACGAACGTGCTACGTACCTTCGTAGCTGTGTTCGGTTGATAGATTAGGGATAAGGCCATAGATTTTGCAACCATCATTTTGGATAATGGTACAGTTCGATCGGATGCAACCAATTTGTGTCCAAATGCAAGCATTCGATCCGTCCTAACAAAGACAGACGACCGATCAGGGCGATGCAGTGGTTAAGCCACGGCTGTTCTGACCGGAAGGCGCGGGTCCAAGCACTGACGAGTGCAGCGCACCTGCCTTGATACAAATCTGAACCGCACCACCGAATGTTCCTTAAGGGGACGCAGCCGGTAGATAGGGTAAAGCAAGTATGCAAAAGGTACGCCACCGAGTCACAAATCCTGTAAGTTACTGACACTAGCAGGTATCTGGGCAGCTGAAGAACAACATGTGAAACTCCCCCGGGTAGAAGTGAACCTACCTTGCAAAGACAGACGGAGGGTGGGGGAGTGATGGGAGGAAGAGAAAGTGGGACTTGTGCTGGTCGCGCGTGATCGTTCCCAAATATTCAGGAAAAAAAATACCTGATTTAGCTTTGGATATTTGTGACACCCAATATCTCATTTCTACACAAAAACCTTCTTTTTGCATCCATCGTCGTCCATCTGGGTCGTCGTCGACCATTTGTATCACCGTCGCAGCTCGCCTATTGTGTCCGTTAAACGCGAATGGCCAAACTAGGCACAAGGATCCGATAAATGCTACTTTTGCATCATGCAAACGAAGTGGAACCGATGGATCGACGCATTCGTCTACCGCAGTACATGGAAAATCAATATCTACATTTGGTTCATCCTGAGGTTTTATGCTCACTAGCTTTTGTAACTCTCGGTTTACCTGGATTCCGAATGAATTAAACATCAGTATTTTGCACACACATTTGTTGCCTCACATGAATGTCATAGGCTTGACCGGATTGTATTTGATGAGATACGTTGACATGTAGCGTCTTACGGCAGATGTTAGGGGTCCAGAGTGTGACGCACATGTATTTACTCACACGCACGATTCTAAAACGTCATGAGCCAGTAAAAAAGCTGAGCTCAAGTCCGGCCTCGCTCAATCATTTGCGCACAGAAAGCAAGAGCTTAAAAGCACACATTGATTTAGCCAATTCTTCAGCGTATCCACATCTCTCGCCGCCGCACCAGCCAGTCAGATATCTAGCAGACCTGTTACGTTGAGAATAATGTCACGGTACAAGAAATATAGAGTATTTGAGACGAATTTTGACTCAAACGCACCGCACTCTCAATAAGGAAGTCTTTGTCAATTACCTAGCTAGTATTTTACCACCCGGTAGGTCGTCTGCCTAGCACACACGTCAATCTAGTATTATATTGATGCTAGCGGCGATTATACGTCAAGGTTTCATGCGCGTTTAAATGTTCAAGTGCTCTAGCTATTCGTACCTAAGAGCGCCTAACGCACTCGCAATGGTGTACAGGTGATGCTCTGCACCAGGAGTCTGTTGCTGCTTCGTTCTACAAGCTCACGTCAAAGAGTGCAAAAGCAAAGGGCAACCGCCACCACGCAGCGATTATGCATGTCAATGTATCAGAACTAAAATAGAGTAGCGAGTACCTTTTCGTGGGGCTGATAGTCCTTTTGTTGCGAGCCGAAGGGTGAAGTTTTTAGTGACTGGGCACAAGTTATGTCAATATGCAGAACTCGATTCGGTTCTGTGAACTGAATTACTCATTGCGAGCCCGAAGGGTGAAGCTATCAGTGAGTGTGCGCAAGGTTGAATGCCGAGCTTTTAAATCGTACTTATCTGTCTGTGTGTGTCGGTAAATAACGCGGCTAGGTGCAGCTTACCCGTACCAAGTGCGATCTAGCCTGTGCCCACCACATAGGTATTGACGCATGTACGTAGTCACTCTTTGGCTGCATCACTTTTGAGACGCACGCTTGTGATCGACTGAAAATCGACCAAAGGTGAGTATGACCACATTGACATGCAACACTAGACGCTCATAAGCAAAGGCTGATCGCGGTGACCACGTATACTACTGTTCTGAGTTAATGCAGACAACAACACTATCATACTCCTTCTTCAGTGACTACTGCTGTTATCCAGTGTTTTGCAACTTGATTCAGTTCTCCGAGCTGGACTACTTACATCGTGAGGCGAGCTCCAGATCTTGCTCCTCTGTCTTATCTAAGGGCGAGCTCCAGAGTTTGCTCCTCTATCTTAGCGATTTCTATCTACTGGCAACATCGTGGCTGTCAGGTGCACAAAACCTCGCGCAATGGATGATTCGACGGTAGACTTTGGACTTTAAATGGGGATAGTCGAGATGTCGAACAATGTATTCAGAGCTAAACTAGACACCCAATTTCTGGATAAAGGGGAACGATCAGGATCGACCAGCATTCTCTCCCTCCCATCACTCCCCGAATCCCTCTGTTCGTCTGTCTTACCAGTACTGGCCAATCAAACGCTGCATCAGGCGTCAAACGGTCACGTTTCAGAGGATTGCAACGTGAACTAAAAACGACTGTGACAAGATCCGTGGCCTGACTGCAAGAGTCGCGCTTAAGTAAGTTTTGCAAGATGCCACCTCGGACTGAAATGTTATGACGCCTAACGTCACAAGCAACGATAATAGCGATCAAAGATGACTCTTTTACTATCTCACCAAAACCGTGTGTGTAACTGTGAGTGACCACAGACCCATTCATTTTGACGGCTGCAGATGGATAGGGTGATGCAGAACACAAACCGCCTCGCACAAGCCGGCTGCATCCCGCACACCGAAAGTGCAGGCGCTTGGTAGACGTTCAGTGACTCTACCAAATCCTATGTTTATGGGCTTGAAGTTCGACCAGCTGATGGATACTATCGGCCTAGTCAGTATACTGCCGCAGTGAGTAGAACGCCCGTGATCTCATGGCTATTGCTGGCTGCCAAATGACTCTGTCGACATCAGGAAAAACAAATAGGAGCAAACGCACCTTACTGCCACCGCGCAGCACTGTATCTGCACCGGCATAACCGAGTATGGGAGGGGTTGTGGCAAATCACAACATATTTGCAAGATGCGATACAAGGTGCTTACTAGAGTGAATGAAGTACATGTGAAACATGGCCGCGAGTTCTTGCATCTCCACAATCGAGAGCAAGCCATCTAGCCGTACGATCCACTGACCGTTCGTCGATGAGTCAGAGGAGCAAGTGGTTTAGACTATAGTGCACGCAATGAAAATTGATGTCGCTGACACGAGCTAGAGACGATGGGACGCAAACGAGGAGTGCTCTCGATGTGCTATTTGCGAGTCGAAAGAAGCTGCATTGACAACTGTTTCGCCCGTCGACTGATCGCAATCGAGGTTGACAGTAGCTGCTGAGCTGGCAAGAGATCAGAATTCAGGCGGACGATCAATCGATTGTTCGATCTCATCCGGCAACGTCAAATATCGAGGTGAACGAAGCAAGAAGGGTCTAGTTGATCAGCACAATGACGACTACGACTACCTGCAACCATATTACTGTAGTGATAACCTTGGAATGAATAACACACTTGTAGCCTGATAGCAGATACCAAGGAACGTTTTAGTGCCCATATTTTGCACGTGGTCTTATCGAGCATTCATGCAGTTGCGGTTGCGGACTGCTGAGACGCTAGTAGTCTCACACTTGGTCTTTAACTGCCAGCGTAGAGCTTGTTGAATCTTAGCTTTGCAACGCTCATTTGCGCATCGAAGGATGACACTGCACTTCCAGTGAGCGTTTCTCCGTCAGTTCTTAGTGTAAAGCACGATAGCTTTCCACGCGTTAGTCGCCAGTGGTGTACGTACTACCGCTATCCTTCTTTAGACAGCATATTCAACCCTTACAGTCACACAGAGCGCTCGCAGGCGTCACGTGTATGTCATCAAGAACATTATCGAGTCGACTTCATGTATGTACAATATCTAGCTAACTTATACCTAGCTACAGTGTTGCAATGACAACAAGAAAGTGAAAGGACTGTGACGTCAAGTGCAGCACAAAAAAGCACGTTCACTTCCTCATCAGGCACCAAGCGAAGCTAAAGAGCATAGGCGTATGCATGCAAGATCGCGCAATGGCTTCACTGAGCCTGTACGTGCTTACAATATGCAACATCAGCAACGAATCGAAGTAGAAACTGCCCAGAACGTCCAGTGAGGCACAACCATTCACAACAAATCGCTACGATTGCGTTGTAAATTGTTTCAAGATGACGGAAGTCACGTACAAAGCAGTCACGTTACTATTCGTGCTTCAGGTTCACGTCCCTCGGATCAAACTTGACATGGAAAGTTACCGAGATTGCCTTACTTCACGTTCCTCCTCAAGAGCCTTGATCAGCAACAGCAACAACTCATTTGTCGGTGTGGGGATGCCATGCCGCTTCCCACCCGCAACAATTTGTCCGGTCATTGCATCGATCTCCGTTCTACTTGACGCAAGTGCCAACGATTCGATTCAGCAATCTTGCACAAGGTCAAGCATAAATAACAACGTTAGCAAAGAAGGAAATCCTTACCTGCTGGAGCCGCGACGCAGATCTGCCAGCATGGAACACACGTTCGATCCAGTAGTGCGGGCCACCTCTAAGACATCATCCACGAGTTCCTGTAACCGTGAACAATGTCAGCTCATGATCGAAATCGGGTAGCCACTGTTCGTACATTCTGAGAGCGATTCAACAGAATTTGCTCGCACTGTGCGACTGCAAGCGCCTCTTGCACCACTAAATGGACACAACGTCGACTGCTTTCGCTGCTTGCCACACTCTGCAACCAAACATACACCACACGTTCCTCTTGTTAACAGAAGGTTAAGCACACGACACTGTACCGAAATTTAAAGCTGACCCGGTTCGGTGCGTTCAACAGAGACGCAAGAGGATTGATTGCCGCGTTTATGATTAGCTTGTGCCAGAGCATAGCTTGCATCTCGTTGCTTCCCAGTACTTTGCAATGAATGCCTATCACACAATTTGATAGCCAAACCTCACTGTAAGCAGTACATCATCAACATACAAGACCCATACTTTCCAAACCTGCAGCAACAAGGACGTCGACAAGCATCTGCATCTTGACATCATCACGTTCTCTTGGCATGGTCATTGTGTCCTCTAGTCCACTCAGTCCCGTCTCCGCTCCATGTCTATGAAGCGGTGCGACGTACGTCTTCCCAGCTTCCAGTCCACTTGTCTTCACCTTAGCAAATTCCAGCACTCGTCCACCAACAAACGTCACGCCACTAACAATTTGCCACCGATTATCGATTCTCTCCCTATTCTCCTCTGTCGGCACTTCTCCCAGTCCGTTCTGTAGCAATACACACAGAGCATCATTTTTTAACAAATGTCGATGCCTCTCTCGAAGTGATTGGATTGCACCAACACTATCGTGTGCTTTCACTGTGACCAACAAGACATCCAGCTTGTGACCATCGTGGGGTTCTCCTGTACTTCCTCCAAGCGCACAAACCCGAACGTTTGACGCATTGCAAGCCGTTGCTACTTTGTCGGCAGTAGTGAGCACCTGAAATTCCAGCGTCTCGGTCTCCTGTCCATCATGAACTAACTGCATCGTCGCCGTCTTCTTCTTCTTCACCCACGTATTGAATTGCTCGACTTTTATCAGCGCATCGACAGAAAGTATCGGCAGCTCCTTCCTAGTCTCGGAAACCGTAGCCAATCGCCCCAATCGAGTGAAGAAGATGGTCCCAATAGCTCCCAACCCCAAGACACCGACACGAAAGTCACTAACGTTTTTTTTTCGAGCTTGAGGTGCAGCAATTGTAGCTGAAGATGTACCAACAAGTGCACATTGATTATGTCTTTGGGCTACAGCCAGACGGTAAGTTCCAGTCGTACGGGTCCATTGACGTCTCCATGTTTGCAGCATTTGTCGCACGTTCAATGCATTCAATGAGCTAGAAGATGATGGCAAACGACTGCTGTCCACGAATTTGCGTTTTGAATGACACCTTTTTCTAGAATGACTCGACACCTACTTACACCATGAACCGAACGCTATCGGACCCATGTCTTTTGCATGCATAACTCATCTACGATGACCATAGCATGCTGCATCACACCAAAGCAAAGGAGGACGTAATTGCGTACTTGCAGACGCAAGTGATGGAAATGCTAAGAGGAGTTCTACAAACGACGCTGGATTGAACCAGGCGAAGTGCTTTGTTTCGTATTTTCAAGCATTGAAGTATCTACTAAATACAACTATAGCGGTGTAGACGTCGATCGAAACTTGGCCATCGCTACCGATTCAGTGCTAAGGTTCATGTCCCGCTTCTACTGTACAAAGCTGCCTCGAGGTATCTCCCATTTCGTCTCATACAAACATGTATGGGGATCCCGAACGGAATTGTTTCGAACTCCTTTAGGCTCAGTGAACTCCACGAATTAAGCTGCAAATCACCACTATCGTTTACTAGTCCGATCCAACAGTATCGAAAACGCCATGTTGAGGATCTTTTCAGTCGACGCTCGTCATCACGGCGCGGGTGCCATCAAATATGCATGGGATCCCCACGGCAAGTACGTCGCGTCTTCCGGAACATCTCGCGTCGCTCAAATCTGTAACCGGCGTGGAAAACTCGTGGATCAGCTCGTTTTGCCGTCTCCAAGGTACCATTAGTTGTCTCTAATTCATTGAATGGCTGGCAAGCAAAGTGTCGATATGCAATTTTCTCCCTTTCAAAGCATGTGTACCTTCCTCGACTGGAGCGAAAATGGAGATATATTGGCTATTGTACAGGCTAAGTCTGCATCACTCGTGCTGTGGGAGCCTAAGAAGATTCAGCAGCATCAAGTTGTGGACCTGCCGTGCAAGGATATCTCCTTCATCAAATGGTCGAAATCGTCGCATTCTTTGCTGGTACGAAAGTGTTGATACATAAAGCAACAAGTTTTGATTACCAAGCGGGTCGAGGTGTTGACTTTTTGCGTGTGATGGCTCTTGTTTTGCTCTTGTGGTGGTTGTTGTTCATGTACAGGTGGCTATCGGTACTAGTCAAGGACAAGTGTATATTTACGACCATGCGACGGGTACGAAGACCCAAGTGAGTGAGTTAGAAGGTGAGGTATATTTAGGTACGCGTACGACCTGCTATATCCTGTCATTCGGCAACAAAGTTACCTAATCGACCGCTACTTTATATACTAGGTAGCGCTAGTCCTCGCTCATACTGGCGGGGATAGTAGAAGTCACGACTTACCCTGAGGTAAGTCTTTTCCCTACCGCGAAGCCCACTTGTTGGGACATCGTGACACTCAAACACGATGCGCAATCGCAAATCATTATGAGCGGGATCGATGCCACGAGGTGTGTCGCCGTTGACTGCTGTATAGTACAGCAGTCCATCACGGACAGAATACCGTTCGTTTGAAGAGCGGTATTGAGACGACAAGCTTTTCAAAGCTTGACTGCATGGGTTGTATACGTAATCCATCAATCGCAGAAAAGGCTTATCTTCTACGTATGCTTTTCTTCGCACGTCTTCGAGCAGATTCGACGACGGAGCACTTACTGTTTGTGTCGCTACAGTGGGATCACCCCTACTGTTGGGTTAAGCAGTCGGCTCGAAGTCTTCCGTGAGATTGTGTACCACGAAGGGAACGGCATGGTCGCAACTTGCGGAGATGAATGTATCAAGGTCGTGCGAATGAGCGACTGGAAAAAGATCGCGGTGGAGTATTTAGACATAGAACCGGCTCCACCAAGTTCTCACGCCTCTGTGACTAGTGGATCTCCTTCCCCCACATCTTCGCCAGCTACGTTTACGGACATTCCAGGATCTAACTCAAGCAGTGGACCAATACAGACACTCTCGTCGTGTTTCGAAGACCTTCAATGGACTCCTGACGGACGCATTCGGAGTGTTGGCTCGCACAGCGGCTGTCTGCACAACTTTCTGATCCTCAGATCGGCACTGCAGTCTCCGTTATTCGACCTGGACTTGCAGTTTGCAGCTGTGCTGAAACCCATCGCCCCATGGACAATGCTCTTCACCACGGGCTTCATGTTATTCGCTGTGTTGCTCGTGCTCAGTGTCCAATCTGACGTCTCGTTCATCGACGTCTTTCGCGCGCTGACCGGCTTCGTCGAAGGACTATGAGTCGGTTTATCCGCCTTCCTTTCGCAGCACAGCAACAGAAACAGCAGCAACCACAACAACAACAACGACTATAAAACATCCAGAGCATGAAACAAGTGTATGACCCGTTAGTCACGACAAGTCGTGCATCAAGCTGCTACTAGCGTTCCGGAATCGCTGCAGCTGAACACCATTCATCAACCATGTCGGTCTTCAGGAACGCTAACAATAGACCCGATGCAGTCTCTTATCCAACATTCTGGGTGCCTGTGAGCTGCAGCAAGTACCCAATGACCACCCACATGCAGCCGCAATGGTGCCGTTGATCGCCATCGAGCCACCTGCTCTCCACATCTTTTGTCCGACAAATCTGCCTTTCACGGCACCTAACAAGAACAGTGTGACAACCGTAAGGAAGCACGACAGATACAGCGTCGTCGTTGGACTCATGTCGATACCAGGCACAAAGTTGACCAGGTACGAGAGCAGCGGGATGCTTCCGAAGAGCATAAAGGAGAGAAACGTGATGAGACCACCAGTCAGTGGCGAGTCCTCTGCGTCCACAGGCATGAAATTAAGTTCCTCGACCATCATAATGTCAATGAACGCTTCTTTGTACTTGGCCAGTGTCTGGACCACAAGTCGAGCGTCTGTGTAGAGACGCCCTTTTTCTCATAAACCTCAATCATGTCATTTATCTCTCCTTGTGTGTAGGGTTCAAACTCCCAGACTTCTCGAGAGCGTTCGTGGTTGGCCAAATCCGCTCCAGCTTGACTGCTCAGCATGTCTCTGTAGGCAAGATGCAAGGTGCGAGAAGGAAGCGTTAGGTGAACAATAAGATTCTGTTGTATTTCCTTACTAGTTCTCTCTTCTCTGCCATGATCGCCAAAGCCCTCTGCTCCATTCATCCATCTCACACGCATTCTGGCTCTACTCGGGTCACTATCCTGCTTGTCACTCTGCGTCCACCATTTACGCACAGCGAGTTTGTGACATCAGGTTTCCAAATAAACCCCAAGTCACCGGCCGAACACTCCGGTCACCGTTACGTACCCTTGCACCCATTTCCAACATTCCAACACTCCTCCTCGGTCGTGACTTGCCCTCAAACCAGTTCCATTTCTTGAGCTTGCAAATGTCCTTGTCCCTGTGCTCCTCCATCCCTGAGCTCCTTATCGCCCTTGATCGTCCTTGACCATTTCTTAACCAATGCGCACGAGTGCGCGCAGTGTCGAGAGCTTCGTCGCGTCCAACGCCTTCGTGAGGAGGTCTGCGAGCATCTGCTCCGATCTGACGTAGCTCGCCGTGATGACGCCGCGGCGCGAGTAGTCGCAAAGAAACTTAAGGCGCACATCCACATGTTTTGCCTTCAGCGACGATGCCTCTCCCGCAATCTGCGCGATCGCCGCTTGGTTGTCCACCCGCAACTGCATCGGAAGCGTGGGCTCCACGCCCACTTCGCACAACATCTCGCGCAGGCCGAGCATCTCGCGCGCGACTTCACTCGCCGCGACAAATTCCGCCTCCATCGTCGACAGGGAGACGCCTCCCTGCTTCCGCGCACCCCAGCTGACGGCCATCCCGTTCAGCATCACGATGCCGCCCGTCATTGACTTCCGGTCCGTCTTGTCGGCGGCAAAGTCGGCGTCGCTGAACGCTTCTAGTCGCATCGCCGCACCTAAATTGTCTTCTGCGATCATCGTGATCTTAAGCGCCGCCGTACCCTTGAGGTATCGCGCGATGCGTTTAGCTAACTTCCAGTCTGCTAGTCGAGGCGCATGGGCTCGTCTCGTGACCTTGTGCACCGCAAACGCTATGTCAGGGCGCGTGCAACGCGCCACCCAGAGCAGCGAGCCGACCAGCGACTGAAACTGGCGCACAGTCGGTCCTAATTTCGCGCTTGGCGTCCCAAGAAGCTCCGCGTCGCCCTCCTCCAACTCGTAGCAGCTGTCGTCGATCGGCGTCCACGTCGAGTTGGCGTCAGCGAGTCCGTTGTCGCGTAAGAGGTCTCTTATGGCCTCCTCCTGATCGAGCGTGTACCCATTCTGACCGTTGTGCGTCACGCGCATTCCCAGGAACTTGCTGACACGCCCCAGGTCCTTGATCGACAACGACGCGAGGCTTGCAAAGAACCGCTCGACCGCCGCCGCGCTCGTCCCTGTCGCTAGAAGATCGTCGACATACACGCCGACCACGACGAGGTCGTCGCCGTCGCGCTTGCTTGTGCGCATATAAATTAGTGCTTGCGAAGTTTGTCAACAGGTGAAGCCTAGTCCTTCATCCCGCGCACCCTTGCAGCCTCTACTTATTCCGGCAGAGTGTTGGCAGTCCGTATCGATAGACTTCGTCTTTGGGTTTCCTAAAGACGTTCACAAGAATGCTGGTATTCTTGTGTTTCGAGATCGGTTCACCAACGTGGTACATCTTGTTGCTGTACCAGAGTCAATCACAGCCCAGGGTTGCTCGTGTCTTCATCCATACTATCTTCCGACCTCCGTCACGTGTCAGGCACGAGATCACGGGCTACCCCTTGAACTCGTGTCTGATAGGGACCCCCGCTTTACAGCGGAGCTCTGGCAATCCGTGTATCGCCACTTGGAACACGTTTAACGATGTCGACTTCTGACCATCCAGAAACAGATGGTCAGACGGAACGCGTCAACCGCGTCCTCGATAAGAAAAGAATAGAGTGCGTCCACTCGTTTGCGAGCTGGGTGAGTTTTTGCCGATGTTGGAATTTGCCATCAACAACTCGGTTCATTCGTCGACAACGTATACACCGTCCTTCGTGAATGTCCTACGTCATCCACGTTTACCCGCCATCTTAGAGTGTGACTCTAATTAAGGGGCGGGTGGACTCTCTCGAACGATCTGGTTCTTGCTCATCACCCTTCGACAATGGTATCACGTAATAGATGTCGATGTCGATTCGATCGACACCGATGTTGATGATAAAGACGATGCTGGTACGTTCAGCATCGCCAATAACTTTAAAGTAAGGAAGATGACACCATCACTGGTGACGAAGCGCACTGCTGGTGACAAGGATGAATTAGCAGAGGAATTTCTGCTGACTCGCGGAGCGGTTGTCCGCTTCGTTCAAGGCTCTATTGCACATGCACTAGACAGGCAAAAGTGAAACGCAGACAGACATGGAAGAGCAAATTTTCTTTCATTTGATGAGGGAAATTACTTTTACTGTCTACAGTAAATCTACCGAAACACGCAGTGACATACGTGGTCAGCAGTAAATTACTGCCCGAATATATCGGTCCATTTCGTGTGTTGCGCCGAATGAGCAACGCATACACGATTGAACTGCCCGTAAGATGCGTACGCATCCTACATTTTACGTTGGAAGTCTCCGCTCGTACTATCAGTACGAGCCCGTTTCGAGATGCGAAGAACACCTCAACGGTCGATAGCCGAGACCACCTTCGAGTGTTCCAGTTTCAAACGAGCCAGTCTAGTCGACTAGCGAAGCAACCTGCTCACGCAGTTGAGCGATGTCTCGATGAGCTGCATCCAGCTCGTCACGAAGAAAAACGATTCGAACAGTCGTTCTCAAGTTGTGCAAACGCAAATGCGGCTTGATCGTCCAAACAATCGTGAATTAAGGAATTGCAATTTTCCCTTATAAGATCGTGGAGCTCATAACGCCAAGTCTGTTCATGAGCCAGGTCATCTTGCAACTGTTCCGTCACACGATTAAGCTCCCGAACATCAAGCTGATCCGAGCCTCGAGCCGGATCAGGTTTTCTCGCCGCCAGCACATCCTTTTGGTGGACTCTGGCGGTGGTCAACGCTTTCTAGTGGAGCGTATTTTGAACCACCGCGATGTGAATGGCGTCCGGACGAGTTACATCGTCTACTGGCGTGGCTATCCATCGGCGTGGGACAGCTGGGAGCATCGTTCCCGGATGATTGTTGATGTCCTGGGTCTCGTCGAGCAGTATGACGAGACCCACCAGCTGCGTTTGAAGAAGTGCCGTCGGAAAACGACCTCCCCGAACGTGAGTACACGGATTGCAAAGTGTCAATCCTTTAGGCCATCTCAGAAGAGATGCGCGCCCTCCATTAGGGAACATTAGGGAGGTATGCCTCCCTAGGGGCACGGTTCGAGTTGTCCAGGCAACCTGGACACGAATCACCCCACGATAGCAAGGGTAATCCTGCCTCTCTTGACAGCCGGTGCAACTTGTATCGCACCCCGACTGAGCTGCGCTTCTCAAACCTGATGCGAGCTGCATCAAGTGTACCGAGCCAGGCCTAACGGCCAATGCACTCGATGTGATGGATGAGGGCATTCCATCCTTGCACCAAGGCCTTACCTTCTCGAACACGGCTACCATTGTACCACCGATATTTGAAAAATACGTCGGTAAAGAATTCTTCCTCGACACACATAGTTTCCGTTCTGGAATCAGGAGGGCAAATCTTCCTGCAATCGAACCACGGGATTCTATCCTGTTCGGTAGTCATGCCGGCCAACCGGTACAACTCTCTGGATAACGGCATCCAGAAGACTCCACTTAAGGAGCGTGGCGCAGGACATTTCGGTCCCTGGCCTCTTGATTGGTGCCAGTGTGAGCACTGACACCAGTGACGCCTCAATCTCTCGAGTTGCTACGCTCGCTGTGATGTATAGGTGCGTCACCACCATCGCCACGCGTCCTATCGCTGGATAGACTTGCGTGAGGCTGAAACTCATCGGAATAATCGCTCAATCCGAAGATCTCGAGCATGATGCCACCACGTTGACCAGAACCAGTCAACCTGGCTCTTGCAGTGTCCGCCCCGGGTGATCGGGAGGCGTGAGGTGCCGCCTTCGAGTCGGATGCATCATTCGACTCGCCAGAACATGTGAGCTCTATTTCATACTCATCTGGAATACGATTCGCAGTACCCGCTGCAGACGCAGCGGATGTACCTGTCGTACGTGGTGACTCACCACGTGGACTGTTCACATCAGCAGGCGACGAATCACCTGCTGCTGAGGTGTGAGAAGTACTCTCTCCGGCTGCACGCATACGTGTAGCCGCCTATCTTGCTGCTGCAGTAGCAACTCGCTTGGGTTTCGAAACCATGATTTGGATTGGCAAATAAGTTGGAATTTAATCGACAAGTGCTCTCTTTCTTAGCGTGCTCCAATGGGTGGTCACCTTGTCCCAATCAGTTCAGATTCAATAAACGAGTGATTGATGGTTAAGGGGGGGTGATGTAATGTGGTAGCTAGTTACACGAGATTGACACCAAACGATGTCAATAAGAATTTTGTCTAGCATGACAATATTTTACCAATTTTTTCCGAGATAGGTAATGTTAAAGGAACATTATCCCCTTTAGATAGTATTCAAGCGCTGCTTTAAGATTGGTTGGTATAAGACAAGTCAACCATAGGTTACACCAATCGCTGCTAGACGCGCGCAATGAGTGGTGAGCAGATTATCGTCATACGACGACGTAGTTTAATATAGTTAGATTAAGATTATAGTTTTATTGATAGCTTAACGATATTAATTACAGTTCTCGTTTTACCCTTACTCAAGCTCAGTTGTTGAGTAGAATAGCTTCCTCTGCACGTGCTAGTGTACGTGAAGTTTTGTGGCACCCAGACAAAGGGTGCCCCGTTACATCTGAAGTTTGCAGAATAAGGAAGCTCATACAAAAGCACAGCAATTTGTCACATCCGGCTCTCCAACCTGGACGAGCGAGCGCCTTTTTACATGGCAAGTCGCAATAAGATGCAATGCGTGAAGCAAGCGTAGCCGACGGACGCCTTTTGTACTGCTGTTGTCATTCTCACTTGAAGTCTAGGCAGACTGGATAACAACAGCCTTTCATAACCCCAACTGAAACGCGAGCGCTAGCGCGCAAAAACTACGCTTCGCTCTCAAAACAAAATGAACTCCATATTCTCCCGCCGAATCGACACGCATGCGAGTATCGAGCGTGGGCATCTCAGGAATGAGTTGTAAATGCCCTTGGTGCTGCTTCACTGCAATATTTCCTAGACTAATGGTGTAGTTTTCTCTGGCAGATGCACTAGATCGTGTCACAGCCATCATGAGTGCACCACTGGCTCCGTCAGTGCAGTTTCTGGCTGTGCATCATGTCACGTATATCGTCGGTGGCATAAAAATCCTGGTTTTTTAATCTATTAAAGATCTTCACCCTAGCGAACGATTCGTTCGAAGTTGAGAATTTAACATAAGTGCATTTGATGCGCTGATGATTACCGTAAATTTAGGTGAATAGTGAATAAAATTTAAATTGATGTTAGACAGCTTGAAATGAATGTTTTTAGCGGCTTCCATGTCTTTTAACTATGGTGAGTTGAGATCACATAGTCCACCAACACCTTCTTAACAACCTTGTTTCTTCGGATAGTTGCACGATTTGTTTCACTATCTGACAATTGGCTGTTCTATGCAGGTATTGTTGCAACGGCCGCAACATTCTTTTAGAACTCAGTAAGCTCTTTGGAGGTCAAACGGGAAAATCCATCACCACAGTATCCAAACAAATTTGTGCAATAAGGATGAATCCATGAAGAGATCGTACTGCGTTTTGAAAGAGTACGTAGGAACCGTATAACAGTCAGAAAGACAATTTTTGGACGCCAAATACTTGCTCGATTGCGTTCATTAGCGAGGCGTATTGCAGAAAAAGGCTCCTTATTACTTTGCGGCCTTTTTAAGTACAATAGCAGATCAGTATGCAACTTGAGCGATCTTGTGGATTTAGCCGTAATTTACCTTGCGGGGCGCGGTCTCATTTGTACAAATGGTAGCAAACTCCACGGAATGAGACCAGGACCCTGCTGTCGTTTCCGTATCCGGCTCCTCCAAGTAGAAGTTTTGCGGTACGTGCGGAACCCTCGCTTGCCAACGTCAGCAATTATGTATTCTTCGTGCGTTGAACCTATCCAGCCGGCGAGGGTGTATAAATATAAAAGACCAAAGCCACAAGCAGCAAAGACAGTCTATGATAGGGTGTGCTTGCAATTTCAAAGGCGGCCTTGGTCTGCAGCAAGGAAGTACATCGGGATGTGGGTGCTATCAATGACCTCGACAAAATCCTTTAGATATGGTCGGAAATGGCGATCAGAACGAATTTTTGCAGGTACGGCGTCCCCATTTGGTAACTGCACGACCTCACCGTACAAATTGACCAAAGTATCCACCACCGAGTGGATAAACGCTCAAATCGTCTCCTAAAAGTTCCAAAAGCGCTCCTATGCAGCACGATTGCTTTTTGTTTGCCCAACAATGAACAGAAAGATCAGCAGCTGTTCATCAACGTGGAAGCTACTTGAATTCTTGAAAAGACCGCGCCGGTGGCACAGAGCACTGAGCTCTCCGAACTTGTCAGCTTCCATCCGTGCTTGCTCAAGCAAGCGATCTGAATGGCGAGTGACAAGCTTTTTATACAGGTAGCGCACAAACAAGCAGGCCTTCAGAAAGGTATATTCACGATCCTTTCTTGCATATTCTACAACAGCATTTGCAGTAGCATGTTGAAGTTGTTTGCGTGAGTGCCCAATAAGCTATTAAGAGAATGTTGAGATATCGAAAATCACAAGTTTTCACTAGAATGTTGTAATATTGAAGGTGCGATACAACAAAATCGAGCTTGTAAATGGTCTTAGTCATAGTATATTGAATGTTACAAGGTACACGTAATAAAAACTCGTTCTTCATCTGGCGATCACTGACGGTTCAAAAAGGGTAATGGCTTCAGAGATGTGACGATAGAAAGTAGCTATAGTAAAGATACAAATTTTTAACTTAAGCATAAATTATGGATAATTTGAGGTATCGTCTTCTGCCGCTGAGAGAGGAAGGTGGCCGTAAGTGCTTACGTCTTTAGTTACTATGAACTCTAAGTGATATTCTCTTCATATATCGGCCTGGCGAAGTTGTTGGACTTACACTGATCCGAAGCGTAAAGCATATGTCAAAATAAGATTTCGATGAATAAAAGAGCATCCTTTGTTTGACCCAGATCTCATTTATGGCCAAACACGAGCGTACAATGGCGCGTTTGTATCTTTATCTTGCTACGCGGTCAAATTAGTGAACTATGGAAGAGCAACACGTGCAATGCATATATGTTCATTTGGAAGAGGATTCGTAAAGAGAAATTTAATATGGCAATTTTTATGCTGATTGAAACTGGCCTATCGACAAATAGGTAATCGCATAGAGGACAGTCACGCATCGAGTGGGAAGATGAAAGTTACAATACAGAATATCAGTTACAAAAAAAAGCTCGGACTGAACCAATCAATCTAATGGTTAAGACAAAATTGTACTCACTTCCTTTCTGCATTTAAAATAAGAAATATTGGTCATTTTTTGCTAATTTGTGAACCCAAGTCGTGCGTTAAGGTTTTGGAGCACCTGTAAGCAATGTCGTTAGTGTCAACACCTTCCACGCTGTCATTGTAGTCATAAAGCGGCCTGTGGTTTGTTATACTGGTGAAAGTACACGGACATTTCAGTGAAAGGAACGTTCCCGGTACCTTTTATCAATGGTTTGTGTAGGAAGATTACATATCCAAAATCTCCTTGTAAAAAACTAAGGACAAGGAAATTTTGGTGTAGTCGATTGCGATAATTAATTATAGTTACTTTACTTGTTGAAATCGGATATGTAGGTACTTAGACATTTATCAGGAGGTGATAAGCAGCAGGTTAATAGCTTAACATAGTCAGACGAGTAATTCTTATTTATGTGGCCAAACTAAGTGAGCCATTTTGTAGCATTAAGTAGCGCTTTTAGATATCCAATACTTTTTTGGTGCTAAACTGCGAAGCATTCTATTTCGTGCTTCAGGGCGTTCATTTTACATATAAATATGTCAATCATACCTCTGTAGGCCTCACTCCGTTTGTACGTGAGCAGTCATAACCATTAGCGCAGCAAAAATTCTATCACTTCGAATGTAACGGGCTTGAGGGTGGATTAATTCTTAAGTATGCTCGCTACAGTCATATCTAACCTTATATATAACCGCGTATGTAACGGGGCACCCTGAAGCTTGTACTGGTGACAGTACAAGCTACTTATTCTGATGACAGAATAAGGCGGTGGCTCGTAACTTCACGTACACTCGTACGTGCAGAGGAAGACGGTAAGAAGAAGCGAGTACTTGGTTAGAGTAAAAAGTAGAACTGTATTTATCATAGTTAATGTCCGTTAATAAATCACTATTTATCTTCATCTAACTATGTTTAAATACAAATGTGTAAATCAACTATCTGCTCATCACTCATTGCGTGCGTCTGTCGTAGCGCGTCTTCGTTGGTTGATATAATGGCCTATGTCAACCAATTAGGGAACTACTCGTAAGTGCTGCAGAATATTTGTCCTTATGACAATATTCTGAGAATATAACTCTTATAGTTATATTCTATTAACAATTTCTTATAAATTGTTATGTAACGATTCACCCCGTTACATCACCCCCCCCCTTAACCATCAGTCACTTTAGTGACTGATTGACGAAATGGATACTCGTCCCAAATCATTTGGGACAGGGTTTGCACTTGTTGGTCCGCGTCCACTTTCCAACATTTCATCGCATGGTTAACAAGCCCATGCGATGCGCGAGCAAGGCCGCCGAGAGCGCGTCCGCACGTCTCTGTGCGGACGCCGAAGCAGAAACAACAGCAACTGATGTCTCATCGGTTGCTGAAGCGACCCAGCCTGTGTCACTTGGTGATGCAGGCGCTGGTCATGAAGACACTCGTGTCTTCACAGAGTACGAGCTCGGTGTCTCGTACTCTCCTGATACGGATGACGGGTCCGTATCTATGGCGATTGAATCTAAGCCGCCTGCCAAGCGTGGCATGGACAATGCTTTGCGTCGCAGCATCTTTGGGTCGTCTGACGAATCAGATGAACCATCGCCGAAGCGAAGGCGCTCGAGGTCGCGAGACTCGGGCGCTAATAGTGGTGTCGGTTCTCCTATGGACACCACTTCACAGCGAGGTGCCAGTACTTCTGTCGGCTCGTCGCAGGAAGAGCGGGACCGCAATGTCTTGCGTCTCGCTCCTGAAAAGAAAGCATCGATGCCTCCAAAATCTGTCATGGATCACTTGTCGGCGACGACGAGTGATCGTTATCGAACACGATTGTTCGATTCGTCAAGGATCCATCACCTTGACCCCAGCGCGAAAAACTATCGCGCTGAACATGAATTCTTCATCGATGCTTTCTTCAGACATCGATGGTACAGTGGGAACCACAAGCGTGATGGTCCCTCACTACTTCAAGCGTGGAACGCCTACATCCATAACCTTGAGGATGTAGGTCGTGACACTTGGAACGACAAACTTATCAAAGCTCGCGATAAGTTTGAAAAGCGAACCCCGACAGGTGCACGCTATAAGCTGCATCGTCTGTCAAGGGAGAGTGGGCTACCCTGCCTCTCCTGGAGAGACTCGTGCCCATGTTGTGTGAACAACTCTGCACGAGCACCTAAGGAGGCTTACCTCCTTACCAGCCCGTGGTGGCGCGTACGTGTCTCTACTGAGATGTACGAAGGGATAGACAATCTGAAATCCCTTTACGACCGTGCCGGGAAGACTTTCTCCGGCGGTCCTTCTGCGGCACAGGATGTGCCGCGTCGTACTGCTCAACCAGACCCAGTACGTCGATCATCAGTTGGGAGCGGGGCTCCCAAGAATCCCAGGACGGGGGATAGCCGCGCCACCGGATGAGATAACTCGTCCGACGTCCGTTCACGTCGCGGTGGTTCAACAGCCGCTCAACTAGATAGCGCTGGCCACCGCGAGAGTCCTCTAATGGAGGTGGAGGAGGAGGAAAGACGCTCTCCACACGATCATGTGGATCGGTGTGTTCCCGAGAGCTTCTTTGATCGCGTAACGCAAGGGTTACGCGACGATCTCGAACATGAGCGGAATAGGCGTCTCCAAATGGCGGACACTGCCTCGAAGCATCGAGCTGAGTTTGCCTTTGCTCAGCTCGAGAACGAGAGATCTCTGACATCTCTTCGTGACGAGCTAAGGGTAGCTCGTGGGATTGTTGATCGGTCTCGGGATGAGATAGCTGCTCTTCAGACCCTTGTTGATGCCCACCATCGGGAGCACAAGGCTCTCTGCGAGATGCTTGAGCGCAAGGGCGTTCTTCATCGGAAGAAGCAGCGTACTGATGGTACGGCTTAAGCCGACCAACGTAAAACGTGGGATGCGTTCGCATCTTACGTGGTAACTCGATCGTGTATGCATTGCCTAGGCGGTGCAATACACGAAATGGGCCGATGTACTTGGGTAGTAGTTTACTGCTACCCAAGTTAGTCACTACATGTTTTGGTAGATTAACCGTAGACAGTAGGACTAAGTCACCTTTATTAAATAAAAGAGTGTTTGCCCTTCCATTCTTGTCAGCGTTTTGCTTTTGCTTATCCACCGCTTCGGCGATGGAGTCTTGCACAAAACGGACTACCGTTTCACGAGCCAGTATGAACTCATCTGATGACTCGTTAGCTTCAGTGTGCTGTGAGCGCACTGCAGCAACATCAATCTTTTCTTCAGTGAGGGCTACCGCACTCTCCCTGGGATCATCTTCTTCAGTGAGGGCTTCCGCACTCTCACTGGCATCATCTTCTTCGATATCGATGTTATCGATATCGGCATCAAACGCAATGACCTCATCGTCAGAGCGTGATGAGCGTGAACCAAATCGGTTTTTGCTCGCGCGAGTCCCTCCCCCCATTAAACCAGAGTTACACTCTAGTAAGGTGGGTACACGCGGATGGCGCAAGCCATTCACGTAAAACGGTGTATGTGTCGTGGACGCATGCACCGAGTTGTTAATGGCAAACTCTACCATGGGCAAGGACTCACTCCAACTCTTAAAGGAGTGTACGTATCCTCGAAGTATCTCTTCAAGGACACGATTGGCTCGTTCCGTCTGACCATCTGACTCTGGATGATCAGATGTCGACATCTTCAAGCGCGTTCCGAGTGATTTGAACACGGAACGCCAGAAATCAGCAGTGAATCGTGGATCTCTGTCTGATACGAGTTCACGGGGCAACCCATGAAGTCGGAAGATGGTGTCTTTATTGACACAAGCACAGCCACTTGCCGTGATTGTCTCTGGTACAGCCACAAGTGTACCATCTTGCTGAATCTGTCAACAAATACGAGAATACCCGTATTCCCGCGTGCGTCTTTGGGTAACCCGAACACAAAATCCATTGAGATGGATTCCCAGCACTCAGACGGAACCGGTAGAGGCTGTAAAGGTGCACGCAGTGAAGGACTTGACTTCACTCGTTGGCAGACTTCGCATGTGCGAACATACTTTCGCACAAACTGATACTGGCGGGGCCAGTAACAGTCTCGACTCACCGTGAGATATGTTTTCTCTCGGCCACGATGTCCTCCTATAGGAGCATCGTGATACTCGAACATGATCCGCAAACGCAGATCAGTATCATCTGGAATGACAACACGTGGTGTGTCACCAGAAACGGCTGTATAATACAGTAAACCGTTACGAGTAGTGTATCAATCTGATGCAGATCGATACGCAGACGACAATCGTTTCAACGATTCTCGAGATGGTTGGGAGAGATGTGTCAACAACTTCACTATCTCACCATCTTGGGCGTATGCCCGCCTCACATCATCATACAACGTTGTAGATGGGACTGAGGACGTCATAACCGCAACAGTGACTGTCTCACTGTTGGGTTTCGCGACTGTTTCAAAGTCGGGACGACGTGAGAGTGCATCAGCGACGACATTAAGTCGTCCTGGTTTGTACTCGACCGTAAAGTTGTATTCTGCAAAGAATGACAACCACCGCGCCATTCGTTGTGAAAGGTGCGGGCTGTTCACTGCCGTGCGTAATGACGCATGGTCAGTGTAAACAACGAAGGGTCTATCTCCTAATAGATAGACTCTGAACTTCGCGAGTGCATACTTCATGGCAAGGCGTTCCTTGTCATGCACTGGATAGTTCCGCTCAGCTGGTCGCAGCTGACGCGACTGATAGCAGACGACGCGTTCAACGCCTTCAAGATCGTACTGCATTAATGCACAGCCGATTGCGAAATCGCTGGCATCACAGACCACATGAAATGGCCTGTCCTGATCGGCTATTGCTAGGACTGGGGATTGTATCAAGCTCTGCTTGATACCCTCAAAGGAGCGCTGACATTCAGCTTTTCATAACCACCTCTCGTTCTTTTTCAACAAACGAGAGATGTGCACAGTCATCTCGGCGTAATTGCGTGAATACTTATGCAAATACGCCGCTAGCCCAAGGAATTTTCGAAGACCTTTGACATCGACCGGCACGGGCCAGTCGGTGATCGCCTTGATCTTTTCGGGATCAGGACGTACACCGTTCTTACCAACGATGCACCCAAGAAGTGGTATTTCGCTTGCTGCAAATATACACTTCTTGAGGTTTGCATACAATTGATGCTTTCGCATGATTGTAAGAACTTGTCGGACGTGGTACCTGTGAACCTCAACGTCCGACTTTCCATCCATAGCTCGACTATGGATGAATGCGTCATCGAAATAACTCGGCGCGAATTCTCGTACTGGTCTCAACAGATGTGATACACATCTGTTGAACGTGGCAGGGGCATTACTAAGCCCTTGTGGCATTACTAGCCATTACCAGAGCATACCGCTAGGCGTGCTAACTGCGGTAAAGGGTATATCCCGTTCCCGCATAAGGATTTGATAGAAGCCATCTATCAGATCCATGGACGAAAAGATGGTACTCTTTGACATACCATCAATGATTACGTCCTTCCTCGGTATCGGCGTCTGAGCCGGTACCGTTGCAGCGTTCAATTTGTTGAACGCATGCACTATCCGCCACCCTCCTGTTGCTTTTCGCACACAGAAGGTCGGAGAGCTATGTGGGGAAGTTGATTCCCTCACATGGCCCGCAGCTAAACGATCGGCAAAGAACTTGTCGATCGCAAGTACTTGTTCACGAGGCAGTGGCCACTGCTTCATGACACAGTACTTCGAGCCTGGTTTAAGCTCGACTTCGTGTCGAATACCTTTATCCTTCGGTAATTCGCACGGAACAGTTTCAGAAAATACATCCTTGAATTCAACCAAATCTTCGTAGAGAGGATTTGTCTTGAGCGATTCCCACGATTGGGAGTCATATCGCTCAATTCGTGTCTTTTCATCTAGGACACTCCCGTCCATAGATGAACTACTGAGAACTCTCTCGTTCTCAGTAAACACTGTTGCTGACCTTATGTCGGTTACACACTCGTCGTCAGCGACGAGTATGCAGATCTGCTTGACTTTGGCACTACGCATATCACGCAAGAACCTTTTATGTTCGAGCGTTGGCAACTGAGTGATCTCCGAAGTCAACTTCGGAGGCGCAATCAGATCAAGTGTATAAGCGCCTACACTTGATCCGTTATTGACTATGACATTCAATGTCTCTGTCATTTCCTGGGGACTTATTCCCTCAGGTCTCGAAGGAATTATTCTTTCGGCTTCCCGGGGACTTATTTCCGCGGGTTTCGGGGAACTTATTTCCGTCGTATTTGTAATCTTGGGACTTATTCCCTTTACTTCCTCTAGCTGGGTTTGCGCAACCACAGCGAGATCCTCTACGAAAGACTCTCCAGTCGATCTAGGATTATCGTTTCGCTTAACCTGAGCGATCGATTGTTTCTCTTCTAGATGTTCCCCGCTAGGGATACATCTTTGTCCCAGTCCACCCGACTTATTCGAGTGGTGGACCTTCGGCGCAGCCTGTGTTTCCTCACAGCCGCCGGAACTTTGCTCCGAAGTGTAACCGTTTGGTACACTAAGGTTTTGTGCAGTCGTACTAACGACCGTACCACAAGTGAGGCCATCGCACTCACTCGTAGTACATCCACACGCTTGGGGACGCTCCAAAACGTTCATCAGATGGCTATCTGATGAACAAGCGGCAGGCATCGTTACTGTTCGATGTTGCCAGTTTACCCGTGGTTCGTACCTTCTGAGCCACGGTATTCCAAGGATGACATCAAATTTGTCATCCAAATCCAATACGATAAAGTCATCGTCATATTGGGTATCTTCTAGCGTATAGTGGATCTTCACTATACGCTTCATGACGGTTACGGACGCGCCTGTCGCAAGACGTACCGTCATCCTCGTAGGAGGTGTGTCACATTCACTGAATTTAAAGTGACCATCTTCTAGCGATTGGCGTCGCACAAAATTGTTGGACGCCCCACAATCGACTAGAGCTCGAAGGGACAACTTGTTCGTCACTTCGAGTTTCAAGGTAATGAGTGAGACCTCATTACCTAGAGCAGCAACGCACAACGTCTGTGTGTTGGGAGCAACCTTCATCAAGAGGCCTACAATTCTCTCGACGTTGCTGGATCAGTAGGGTGCTCCGCACATACTGATCCTGTCCGTTTTTTGACGGTCCATCCCGTTGTTGCTTCTTTACACCAAGTGCGGACCCGCGTCCCTGTCCCTTTCTCATGGGTGGACGGTCACTACGCCCAGTGTCGCGAGATACTGGACGAGGGGCACTACACTCGTAAGCGTAGTGTCCTGTCTTCTGACATCTGTTGCATCTCTGCAACTTCTTGTAGTCTGTAGAGCGAGCCTTCTCGCTCTCTACATAACAGAGTTCCATCGGCTCTGGACCTCCGTTGTCATATCGTCTCGGTTGACGATATGATGTCGAGCTGGCGCGAGCTGGCGCGAACTTATACAACTCGTGAGATGTCGTATATGTTGAGCGTAATCGTGCACATCACGCTTACCCTGCTTGAGCTTCAAGAGTTCGGTTCGAGCCCTGAACTCAGCTCTAGGCGGTTCAAACGTTTGTCTGAGCCGCGACTTGAAGACTTCCAACGACCCAAACGCATATGGGTCGTGTAACTTGAGCCCAAGTGCCCAAGTCTTGGCACGTCCTGCCAGATTTGACTGGGCAAATGCAACTTGCATATCCCCGTCGTCGATGCGACGCGCCCTTATGGCGTCATCCAATTCGACGAACCATATCAAGAGGGAGTCTTCTTCGACCCCCCTATACTTGGAGATGTCAATCTTCAAAGTGTCGGGTCGACGCGAGTGCATCGACCCACCAGCAGCAGCCTGCTGCTGTCTCAACAGTTCAAACTGTTGAGCACCTTGTTCTCTCAACAACTCTGCTTGTTGAGAACCTTGTTGGTGAAGCAAGGCTACTTTCTCGCGTTCAGCGTCAAGTTCATTTTGAATGAACTTGGTGATAGTAGCATATTGGGTATCTCGATCGAGAGCCTCTAGCATGACGCTAACAGCATGGATACCCATGGTTGAACCCATCCGTTCAACCGCATCCCATTCGACGTCGCTAAAATGGGAGTAGCCGTCACGCGTAGCGTGAAAGCTCTGGTCAGCTTCATCATCTAACAAATTCATGTTAGATGTGAACGTGGTCCTTGGACGGACTACGAAGTGCTACCAGGTGTAACGGGGCACCCCGAAGCTTGTACTGGTGACAGTACAAGCTACTTATTCTGATGACAGAATAAGGTGGTGCCTCGTAACTTCACGTACACTCGTACGTGCAGAGGAAGACGGTAGAAGAAGCGAGTACTTGGTTAAAGTAAAAAGTAGAACTGTATTTATAATAGTTAATGTCTGCAATAAATCACTATTTATCTTCATCTAACTATGTCTAAATACAAATGTGTAAATCAGTTATCTGCTCACCACTCATTGCGTGCGTCTGTCGTGGCGCGTCTTCGTTGGTTGATATAATGGCCTATATCAACCAATTAGGAACTACTCGTAAGTGCTACAGAATATTTGTCCTTATGACAATATTTTGAGAATATAACT